AAGCCAACCTAGGGTTTGGTGACAGGCGAAATACACCCATCCTCGAGGTGTAGGTGCAAGAGTTTAAAAATAATCAGGTGCCACACTCGCCCAAAAGACATTGAACGTTGCGTCCGAAAAATTTCTTAAGCGTGGCGTTGAAGCCAAAACATCTAGGATCTCGGGCCCTGAGGAGTTCCGATTAGACCTCCTAAGTCATTAATAAAGAATAATTGATGTGTGAATTCCCGTCGCAGTTTATTTGCCAGGCTGTTTTATAACTGTTGTTTTTAACAGCCCTTGAAACTGTTCTTTACGCCTTTCACTTGATTTTGCCGGACACGTTTTCTTTCTTTCTGTATTCTTTTTAAAGCCAGTCCGAACAAATTTCTGCCCACACAAAACTTGAGGAACCCATCTGCACCACAGTCCTCGAACATATCATACGATCCTTACAAATTTAATCAACAGCCACCCGTCTGCCAAGCCAACGAGAGCTAGAGCAGGCGGGTGAGAAGAACTGCTGCATCAAAATCCACCATAGACCTAAATACGTTCCATCAGACCTCGAAGTGTGAGCAAAAGAATCATTTGGTTTATACTACTTCTTAAGAATGCTGAACAGTCAAAAAGACCAAAACGATGACCGAGTATGCGACCAGCCACATAAACCTCTAACCCGGAAGCCACTTTAGCGGCTAACCAAACTGTACAACGGGGAAAATGGGGGACAGTGGAAAAGAAGATGCAACCTTACCACAAAAAACCATCCACAGCACACGAAAACGGGGATGTTGATGACCGATCGAATTCCCTCATCCTGTTGTTTAACGTCCCTGTGTGCCATAACAGTCTCCTTGAGAACAGAGAATCGTTTGACAAGCAGCGATGGGAAACCGTACGCACCACACTAGGACTGGGTAGCCCAGAAGCAAAATTGTGCAGGCTCTACAAAGGCTACTACCCACCCCAGGGAAAGCCTCCGCCAATGAGAGTTACCCTAACTCTGCTAAAGGGCGGAAAGATTCTTGCTGATGTCATACACAATAGTCATCAACAGGTTATCCAGCATTAGAGCCAGACCAGACCGCCCTTGGTCAGCAAGAAAAGTATCTCACGAGGCGCCCCAAACGCTGAAACCAACAACTATGGTTGCCCAAGGCATACCAGAACTGACAACCGGCTCAGTCGTAGAAAAGTGTGCTCACGACGTCCAGCAATGGCAGTGGTTGTCAGCGAGGATGGGGCTGAATGGGATAGCAGCGGCGGTGATCTGCAGACTGCCATGTCCCCAACATTTGACGACGATAACAGCACCCGGTTGATGGCTATTGACTTCGGCTGTGAAGAACTTTTAACCAGTGTGCTGCAAACTTGGTACACAGTAAAAGATAACATCAGTGAGAATGTTCGCTGCTGTGAAAGCAGGCCCAGGACACTGCGACAACAGCAAATGGCAGCACCGCCCACCGCCGAGGTCATCATCACTGTCAACAGACAAGATATACAAACAAGCCTAGACCCTATGAAACCCCAGGAACCATTGTGGGAGAAAAAGTGATTGGGCCGGTTTCACTGAAGCTGGCCGCCCTGTAGCAAGTTTCGCCACTACGCGCGACTCCCTCCAGTCTGCCAGCACCAAGATACCCCTTGTCGTTGGAAACATAGCCAAGTGTCTTTACAGTAATGTGCGGGGACTTAGAAGTAAGATGGGGGAATTACGATCTCTTTGTTCTTACCTGGCTCCAACGATCATAATCCTGACAGAAACTTGGTCATCATCAGACATTAGCGACGCCGAAACTAGTACAGATGGTATGCGTCTGTTCAGGAGAGACGGGGAGTTTAAGGAGGGAGGCAGAGTAGCGATGCTTGCAAGTGATAACCTTAAAAGTGAACGAGCAACTGAAACTCTACTTTCAGGGCTCCTAGACCCCGTCTGGTGTCAGTTTAACGTTTAACACACCAAGTAACTGGTAGGGGGTGTCTACAGGACGCCTACTAGCAGCGTAGAAGATAACCGACTACTGCTGCAAGTAATGTCCCGAGCGACTCCCATCGGATATGGCCAGGTCATTAATGCTCCGAATCTCAATCTTGGGCAGGACAAGGGAACCTCAAGCCGAAGGTTCGACTGAAACCCACTCAACACTATCAAAATGGCTGGGCTGCATGAGAATATTGGTGACGACGCTCACTGGGGGTCGGTCGGATAGCCGTCCAAACTGGACTACCTTTTTACCAGTGACCAGCTGCTGGTAGAAAACGTACAGGTTCAAACCCCCGTTGGTAGCAGGGATCACGGTGTAGTGGTGTTCGATCTGGTACTCAACGAACAGCTGTTATGGGAGGCATCGCGCCCTTGTTTTGCTACAACAAAGCTAACTACGTGGCGACGAACCAAAATCTGTCGGCAGCACCGTGACCTCAGGAGTGGTACAATCTGCCGATTGACCAACATTGGGAACTAGTCAGAGATATCATCAAGAGGGCTGTCTCTGAAAACGTCCCAGTAATCACAGCAATACCGCGGAAACGAACCTCATGGTTGAAGCGAGGCACTGATCGCCTTTGAAAGCCAAGAGGAAAGCATGGCGCAAGTGGGGAACCTCCAGAAAGGAGTCTGACCACATCGTGTATGTCGCCCCAAGAAATCAATGTAGCATTGGAGTAAGGGGAGACGAGAGGTCATTCGAGACGAACGTAGCTCAAGAGCTTGAGGCAAATCCCAACAACCTATATAGGTTTGTGGCAGGCGAAAAATCCACCAGCCAGGGGGCTTGCGTCCTGAGAGGCCTAAACGGAGAGAACCTCTCCGGACTAGAGATCGCCTAAGCCTTTAGCACCACCTTCGATACACAACTCGATACATCCCTATCGAACTGAAATTATCAACTGTCCGACCGAAATTCAGTACTGGGTGCCTTGTGTGGTCCGCTGTGTAACTTGTTTCAACACTCCTTAGACAATCACATGCTTCCACAAGAGTGGAAAGCTGCTATTCTGTCCCCCACCTTCAAAGGTGAAGACAGGCAGAACCCAAAATGCCACCGACCCATAGCCCTTCTACCAGTGGTGTCACAAGTAATGGAGGGCCTGCTAGACGACCATGTCAGGAAGGACTTAGAAAAGAGGGGAGCACTGAGTGATGCACAACATGGTTTCAGAAAGGGTAGGTCCTGTGCCACAAACATTCTGGCGGCAGGTGATAAGTGGACGGCATGCTGGGACCTCCAAATTCTGTCCATATTATTTTCCTGGATCTTACTAAGGCCTCCGACACAGTTCCACACACCGTTCTTATTCACAAAATAGAAAGGTTGGGCATGAAGGGACAAGTGCTTTCATGGTTGCAGGGCTATCTAGACGGTAGACAATTCTGCACAAAAGCCGACAGAGTTTGCTCGACTTGGAGGACATCATCATCTGGTGTATCACAAGGAGCTATTCTGGGTTCTCCGCTATTCCTTCTTTTTGTGAATGACCTCCCACTGAATCTCAGCTCCCCAATTCTACTTTACGCTGATGATGTTAAGCTATGGAGAGCTGTGACGTCAGAAACAGAATGAAGTGCACTGCAAAGTGATCTCAGATTACTTGCAGAGTGGGTGGATATTAATGGACTTGCATTTAACCTAGATCAATGCCGAACCATGTTTCTCCGCACCCCAGACTCTCAGAAGGTACCCTATTGTCTCTGTAGAACACAACCCCCCCCACATCACCACAGATAAAGACCTAGGACTAATGCTAACTGACAAACTAGACACCAGCCCCAATTATCCGGGAGATGCCTCCAGAGCCTACACAGTACTGCACTTCATGAGCAGACAACTGGATGTCCTGACCCCGGAACTCTTTTAGAAGCTGCATAAGACCTATATACGACCCCACCTAGAGGTACACAATGTCATTGCACCACCATATCTGGAAAGAGATGTTAACCTCCTGGAGAAAGTCCAAAGGCGAGCTACAAAGGTTGTCTTGGGAATGAGGCAAAAACCATATTGGGACAGGCTGAAAGATCTAGGGCCCTACTCCCCAAGCTACCGTAGGTTACGTGGTGGCTTGATAACAGCTTACAAAATACCAAGTAAACCAAGTCATTCGAACAGTGGAATCCTACCGAACGGCCACTATGGGGAGCCTGGTGGTAACCCAAGGAGGATCGCTCACCAAAGAGCGAAAACCTGCGTGCGATCACACTTCTTCTCTCTGTCAGTTTGTGGCCACTGGAACTCATTGCCTGCCGAAATTGCTACTGCTGCGTCTGCTGACAGCTTCAAGAAGAGGCTGGACAGTCACGCAGCGACGCACGGTTTGCGCTCATCCAACTGGGACTAGACTAACACGACTTACCAACTCGGTACGACCAACCGTTACTGAACACTTAGTAAAACCACCATCACTGAGAAATTGGCTTAACTTTATACATTCCTGTAGATGTCCCCTCCAGTTACCGTCTCCTACCAAAAGGATTACTATTTTCCCATTCGCCCTATCATGTTATTTATTATTCTTTCTCCCGACTTTACGCTCTCAAACCTTAACAAAAGCTGTGCCTATCACCTATTTCCCGTGAACCTGCCAATGTTTTATTCTTCCTTGCCGTTTCCCCTTTCCTATTCTTTTTTTATATATTCTTCTTTTTATTTCCTTTTCTTTTTCTATTTTGTCTCTCTCTGCACTTTCTCTCCCTTGATTTCTCTGCACATATTTTTCATCTCCTTTTTACAGCCAGTCCGATCGATTGTCTGCTGGTGCGACATTTGAAGAACCCATCTGCACCACAGTCCTCGGAAGAAAAGCAAACAAACAAACAACCCTCCCTACAAATCTAAACAACACCCAACCGCCCAATGGGCTAACCAGAGCTACAGCATTCGAGTGGGTAGACCTACTGCATTGGAATCTACCAAAGACCTGGAACCGTTCCGCAGGAAGTAGAAGCGAGCGCGAAGAAATGAATTGGTTTACACTAGCTCGTTAAAAGATATTGGATTATTGGAACTGTCCTCATTCGATGAAGCGGTTGATTTGTAAATTGTGGAAGGATGGCCGACAAAAGAAAGCTGCAAAGTGATATAGAAAGAAACCTTAAGAGAGTTCAAGAAGGACGAACTGCATTTCAGGTATAGTTTCATTATATGTACCAACAGCCATTAGATACTTAGACGGTGTCCAGATCATTTTATGTTAAGATGAATAATATTCCAGTAGTTATGCTACTTCTAAAACAAAGACTAGTTAGTTCTTCTAAGAATTAATATAAAAAAAGTAACGCTTATGAGACCAGGATATTAGTGAATACAAGTGGACTTATTTTGAAATTTTATTCCAGTAACGTAGTTGAAAAAAACAACTTGAACAGCCTGGCACAACAGAATCAATATTTGACATAGGATATAGAGGGTATTATGTAAAAGTTAGTAGTTTAATTGGTCATTCCATACCATGACTTCTCGGGGGTTGATTTCTCCGTGCAGTAATTGACATCTAACATCACAGCGATGTAGGAAGTTGACGGTTTCTAAGCTCTATCTTTCCGCTACTCTCTTTTATGGAACTACTTCTAACATAGAATTCGCTTCCACATTGTTGCAGTTAGCATTACTTGATGCCTATCAATATGGTGTTTTTATCAGTTTGAAGCTTAAGTGAATGAATAAACTGAGAAGCAGTTGTGATGATGATGGATCCTTTTGCAGCGTTTACGCTTGCAGTTCTGTAAGGATGTAAGAATTATGACGTTGTATAAAGGGCAAAATAGAAAAATCATTGTTTAAAAAAAAGGATAACAGAAACAATGGAAGTTTACGTGAGAAAGTTAAGAACTCATAGGTACTGGAATGGGTCAAACCGGATTACTAAACGGTCAGTTGGTAAAGTCAGTGACTTTTCATGCATGCTGACAGATTTATCCGACGTTTTTATAAGTGAATGCTGAATATGACATTTCCAACTACCGTGGTAAAGTATTTCATGGGGATCTTATATCTGTTGCCTAATGAGGCATTCTAACAGCTCTCTCAATGGAATAGGTAGCACACAATGAAAGTATCACCTTACTCCGCCAACTGACCTAGTGACTAGGTGTATAAGCTAAAATAAGGTGAATTCCTTGTAGGCGTTTGAGGAGGATCTTGTTTCATTGGCTAGAGAACTGATTTCGTTTTTGACCTTGTACTTTCAGATTCAGGCTTATAGTTCGATGGTTGTTGGCTGCGAGTTTGTGTTAGTTCTTTTCCACTAGATATCAACTTGTCGAGTTTTCTTTTGAACGAATCGACTGATGATGCGCCAACCACTTCGCCTGGGAGTCCGTCCAGGAATTGATTACGCGACGTGAGTACAAGGTCTCTACGGTGACTACGTTCGTCCTTTGTTTTTGTATTCCCCTGCTGCATCCTCTGAGGTGTTTCGACCCACTGGGAAGAAAAGAGAAATTGTGGCTTAGATCGAAAGTCATTTCTTAAAATCCTGTACAGCATGATCATATCTATCCTCTGTCTACGATAGGATGAAGGGATTCTGCTCCTGAAACCCTTCTTTGTGTGTTAGGCTTGTCATCTCAATGATCGTGCTGCTGGCTTTTCCGTAAACCCTTTCCAATAGGTCTTGGTCATCTTTTAGACAAGGATTTGGTGTGTGTACAGTTTTCTAGTTTAAACGTGGCTGAGGGCGTATATAAGGTGGTGAATATGTTTCCGAACGTCTGCCTAATCCATAAAGTATGCTTAAACACCGAGCTGTAACTAATTGACTATGCACTCTCATCGAGAAACTACAACTTACTGTGACTCATAGTGGGTGAGTACAGAGAGTGTAGGAGTCCTACCAATATCGTAGGTGTTGCCGTCTGTATGTCCTATATGCATGCCCACACCCACCTGCTCTGACAAGCATCAGCCGTTTGTCTGACCAGGTAAACAAGCTTTTTAGTTCTGTCTGAAGTGCATGCGCATCCTAGTTATCCCTTATTACTATATTTTTATGTCAGCTTTGAGAACCCCGGGGGATTCCATGATATTCTGGACTGTTTGTGTATAAGAGAAATAGCAGGAGATATGCGACTGTCTTGTGGCACTCCACTTTCTACCGAATCCGAAGAGGGGAAAGTTGAGAGTCGTTCCTTATTCTTTGTCTTTTACCAACTATAAACTCCGATCCGTACAGGTAGATTGCCAGCGATTCTGAAACTTTTCAATTTTATAAGCAACCTGAAATGAGATACTTTGTCGAACGCCATATGATTCCTGTTATTCTAAATCTGACATCTTTTAGACATTGTTTGTAGACCTATAAGGTCACCACAGGTACTGTATTTAACCTAAGTCGTGGCTATCACTATCTTTTGGTTGATATCTTGTTTTGACTAACTGCCGTTCTTATATTCTGAAGCAGTAACGTTTTCCTCACGTATTGCAGGTTAAACATGGGTGCACTTTACGCAGACCCAACCCATTACACTTTCAAACGAAAGTGACTTTTTAGTGTTGGACTTTTCAGCAGCAGCATTTTCTTCGGAAGATGTCTGGGTATCACTAGATGAGTTGCATGCCCCAACAAAGATCTTGTCTTACAAAATCAGAAATCTGGTACTTATAAGTAGCGAGCAACTCAAACATATTCACCTTCTTGCATTAAGCAGCGAGTCACACCTATTGCGACACTATCTGGCCTCCTAGACCTGTGTATTTGTTACGAGTTTTGCTCCCATGACTCCGGTTGAAAGTCAAAAGCCTAAACTAATAAATCACAGCTCCTCACTTTTGAGTATTCTTGTAGTATTGTGTTATGAGACTGTCCCATCTTGTTTAGTAATCCGGTTCTTATTTCACCCTCAGATTGAAACTATACACCACATATAGTATTTCAGCTCGTCTTCTATTTTAGTAAAAAGACGATCTACCCACTTTGAGTTTATGTGATTATGTGTTATAGTCACTTTTGATTAGCTGAATGAATTGCTAACACTCTAAAAACTTATGATAGCTGCTGGAGGCTTTGTCAAAGCTTAAATTTCTAGCTTTATTTGACAGAAAAGTTGTAAACGTAGGTATGCTTGGTTGTGCATAGTTTTTTGGTAGGGATATTTTTTCGATACATCATTATGTTTAATTTTTATTCATTTCGATGCTTTTAAACTACACAATCACCAATTCTACGACGGATCTTTCTTTTTGAAATGATCAGTGTTGAACAGTCTTGGTTCTAAACGACGTATATCTTTCCTAACGTTTTCGCCAACGTAAAGCATCTTACTGACCAGAAGGTGTGGTGTTGAAATAATGGAGAATATTTGTAGCCCAGGTAGATGGTCTTGGTGGTATTGTGTTCTCGGAGCTGCATTGCTCAATCGCGAAGCTTTCATCGTCCTTCTAGATGACGTCATCAGCACTAACTTCAGTATGAAGTGAGCTAGCCGTCATTATCTCTCCGTGAGTGATTTAGTAGCTTGTTGTGACGATGTGGTTTGGTCTGCGATCGGTTGTTTCCTTCGATTGTTGTGACATTGACTGACTGTATAGACTTTCCTGTTGGCTGTCCCTCTGCTTGACCTCCCACCTTCCTGTCGTTTATCATCTTTCTTATTGGTCGATAGATTGGGTGTATGTTTATATATCTGTTGATTGATGACTGACGTGAATGCCAAGCTTCTAGGAACTGTCTGATATTCGTTGTGTTTCCCCTTTCTGTCGAAAATTTGTACATTGTCGAAATTGAATTCATGTCCATAGTTGTAATCCAGGTGGATTGAAGTGAGTGATGAAATGTCGTGACGTTTAATAGCCAATTGGTGGTCATGTAGACGAAGGGGAAGAGGGTGGCCACCTTGTGCAATGTAGTGTTGACTACAGTTATTGCAGTTGATTTTGTAAATGATATTCGGTTTGTCTTCTTTGGTTGTTGCATCCTTTGGTCAGGTCCGATTGGTCTTCAACGGTGCCTCGATTAACAATAGAGAGTGTAGTGGTTGAGTGTGTCAACCAGGTGTCTTACCTAGGAAGTGAAGTGAGATCAACCCTGGCGGCTATCTCAGTGGCCGATGAGATCTCTGCACGAATGCAAAAGGCTCGGCTGGCTTTTGCCAACTCACGCCACCTATGGCGCGACGGTGAAATCCGTTTGTCTATTAAGGGTCGCATGTACTGCACAGGATTCCGCTGTGTTCTTCTGTATGGCTGTGAAACGTAGCCATTGAAGGTGGAAGACATGAGAAGGCGGCTTCAGGTGTTTGACCACCGTTGCCTTCTTAGTGTATAGGCCGTATTCCGTGGTGTCACCACGTGGGTAATGCAGAAGTCAGGTATAGAGTTTCAGCGACGGAGTAAATCAGTTGACGAGGTTATGAATCTTCATCGACTGAGATGGCTGGTTGGGACACGTGTTATGTATACCTAGTCACCGATTACCTCATCACATAATGTTGGTCGAAGTAGGTTCAAGCTGGGAAAAAGGTGACACGGGGTGGACAGACTAAAGCATAGCATCAATGTATGAAGTTTTTGACTGTTGGTTTGAGCCATGGGGAGCGATGTGAACTAGTCGGTTGGGATCCATGGGATAAGAGAAACCAGTGGATTGGAGATTCTAGGTGATGATGAAGTGTTCCAGTGTTTAGTTTATAACTAAGTATAATTCAATAACGTATTAAAAATCATACTGTTACCTACCTTTTGTTTTGTTTAAATTTATTTCATTCCAATCTAGGAAATATTAGATAAATTTGAAAGTTCAAATAATCCAACTCAAAAAGAGAAATTTGAAGGTGATTTAAAAAAAGAAATCAAAAAATTACAAAGATTACGCGATCAAATTAAAGTGTGGATAACAGCTAATGAAGTTAAAGATAAACGATTATTATTAGAAGCTCGTAAAGAAATTGAACAAGATATGGAACGTTTTAAAGTTATTGAAAAAGAGACAAAAACTAAAGCTTATTCTAAAGAAGGTTTATTATCTATTGAAATGAAAAAAGATCCTTTACAAAAAGAAAAAGATGAATTAGTTGATTGGTTAAAACAATGTATTCATTCATTAAATACTCAGACTGAAAAATATGAATTTGAAATTGAAAATTTATCAAATAATATTAAAAAAAAGCGAATTGATAAAGAAATTAATTTAATTGTTAATGAAAAACGTCAACATTTAGAAATGTTTTGTTTTCATATTGAAAAACTTGAAACTATTATGCGTTTATTAGATAATGAACGATTAGATTGTATAAAAGTTCGATCTATTCAAGAATCAATTGAATATGTTATTGATTGTGGTGATAATCATCAATCTATGATTGATTTTAAAAATATTTATGATGATTTATGCTTAGATGAGTTAGGTGATTCAACTGGAATCACTGCTGCTACTACTGCTACTACCTCAGGTAGTAATAGTACTACTAGTACTACTACTACTACTACTACTACTACTACGATTACAGCGAATCAAGAGTATGATTTAAACAGTGTAATCACTCCTGTTACTACTAATTTAACCAATCATCGAGCTGGTAGTGATGATACAAGTTCTTCAATTTCAATGCATACAAATACTTCAAATCATACAGATTGTTGTTCAGTTAATCATCCAAGTTCATCAACTTCATCAAATGCATCATCATCTTCTAGAGAACGTATAAAAAATGATGAAAAAGTCACTTTATTACAGCATATTTCAGCTTCATCTACTAGTACACCATTAAAATCTTCGAATCTATCAAATTCATGTCATAAACATAAAACAAATTTAATTAATCAAACTTCACCAGCTCTTATGTCACAAATTGTTGCTGGAACTTGTAATAAATTATCTGGAAAATTAAATAATACAAATGAAAATGACTTAAATACAAGTAAAATAGCTTTGAATATTTCTAATTCACAAGGTTTAACTGATGATATATCAAGAAATCAAGATATTAATCAAACCTATGCTGATCATTCGAATACACTTACAACGAATTGTTTACATTTAAACTCACAATTAAAATCTATTCCAAATGATGACATAACTTCATTGTCAACAGTAACAAATTCAATCACTCCAGTGATTAATAATAATCCTTCAGGTAATCAATCATATTCAAAAGAAGATTCATCTGTGATACCTAATCGAAATGAATTGCATACATCAACATCAACATCATCATCATCATCATCATGTGAAACTTCGTATATTTCAACTCCTGTAAATCCTCCATCACCTATACCATTTCGAAGTAATAAAGTGTCTGAAGCGAATAAACCTCTTAGTAATACAAATGTTTATAATAATAATAATAATAATAATAATACATTATTGTTAACTTCAACAGATGAACGAGTTGACAATAAAAATCATACACCTCCTAGTTTATATTCAACAGCTATGCTAGCAGCTTCTCAGGATAAACATTTATCATCTTTACTTACTTGTTCTCAACATTATCCATCTCTATTGCGTACATCTTCAAATATTATAGATCCTTCATTAACTACAATTTCTTTATCGAATAAATATCAATCTGTATCGAATAGTACATCTTTATCAATTTCTTCAACTATCATTTCAATAAATAATCCTCAAAGTCAATCATCATATTTAGGATTAGAAAATCAATTATCTAGTCTTCAATCATCATTACATTCACAACAAATAAAAAATCAACAAAATAATCCTGTTCATACTCATATGCATCCACGTGATGCTGCTGCTCCTTTTCGTAATCGAAATTTAGATAAACCTAAAGGTGCTGTTCCACAAGAGGTAAATTCATTCAAGGATATCTTTATATGTTAAATGTTATTTTCACAATTATTTAATGTTCAAATATCTTTCTTTAAGAATAATTTATGCATCTAAGTAACCTCCTCTACGGGATGTTGCAGACGAAAGGTCAACACTGTAAATATATATAAAAAAAAAAGGTGAAGGTAGTTAACATGCTAACCCATCAGTTAGAAACGTTGATTGGATGAGGAAGGTAAATAAGTTAACGAAGGTATGAATGTGTATACACTGAGGTACCTGGTATCATAACCTGTTGTGATAGGTAAGATTAGAAACAAAGCTAAGTGTTAGCCATACATGTAGTATGCTTTTATAACTTCTGGTTTAAATGGCAAAATTTGACAATGATCTTTTTCCTGTTATATATTAAGTAGGGGTCGACCACCGGTGTGTTTTCTTTCCCTTAGGTGTTTCATACTCGGTGACATTCATCAATATTGTATATTTTCAAATTTAAGAAAAAGTCTCTTGTTCCCCACACTTTACAATAGTAAACAAACAAGTGAATGGAAAAAAACTGATGAGAAATTGTGTAAGAGATAATGGTTAGTGCAAATATTCAAGCTTTAGAAGATGACCGATTTTCAGCTAGGTCATCCAGGGTTCTCAACCACTGATTCCTGTCGTCTCGGAGACTTCAGTTAGGAAGTCTACACTTCCTAACACGGCTCAGACCAACAGTCAGGGACTTCATCTTAGTCTGGCCACTCTGCTCTCTTCCTCTAACATAGCACGTCGATGTGGGTGGTGACTCAGCATGCACACTACATGTCCAAGCGAGTCACCTCAGTCGATGAAGTTTAACGATCTCATTAATGGACTTGTTTATTTTGCCTAGTACCCTTCTCCTGACCTCAACATTGCTCACACGGTGAACCCACCAAACTCCAGCAAAACCCTTTAATCGCTTCCTGTCTTCTACTTTTAACGGATATATCTCATAGTCGTACAACAGGATATAACGCATTGCAGCATAGTATTCTATTTAGCTTCATCGATAGGTTTCATCCATCCATCCATCCAGATCAACATAGGACCAGGCATTACTGCGTAACGGTCCAAGTTGCCACACCTCATATCAGTACATCAAGTAAAAAAGGCAGTGAGATGCAAGATGAAGATAAGATAATTCAGTCAAAAGGAATATAAAGTACGAAAAGAGAGGAACGAAGAATGAGAAAGTGAGGTTCGGTATAGGCTCGTTAAGATGTGGATAATGTGTGTGGGAGGATACACCTGCGCCACTGACATCTGTTGTGAGCCATATCACGTAGAGTCTCCAGCCACTGGTTCAGTCATTATTCCAATCTCTCAGACGGTCTCCATAACTATAACCTAATGTTAATACCTGCCTCTCACTGAGGTGACAAAAACTCCTAGCTGGAATAATAACTACCAAAAAGAGGTCAAAAAGTGTTGGAATACACTCAGCAACCATCCATACATTTGTTCATTAGACAATGAACCACACTTGTTGTGTTAGGCCTAATAATATTATCATGACTTTCCAGACTTGTTTTCGATTCCCTGACCCATTGAAACCGATAAATCATATCTCTTCACCTGACAACAAATGCTATTCCTAAATTCACATCATCCAATTGACTGTTACCTGTAATTCAACAATCTAATAGCTATGAGATTACCACAAAAAGCGACTTATTTCTTTAGTTATGGAAAAAGCAAACAAACTAGCATTTGATTCACTCATTTTCACTTTACAGTATATGCTCCATGTAGTATATTTACTCATTTGAATAACATCTATTGATAAGAGGAAGTGAGGATATACTGACTACTGAAAGTATCGTTTATTTATGCATCTCTGAATAAAAGATTGAATTATTTCTGCTAATATGTTGTTGTTGTTGTTGTTGTTGTTGTTGTTGTTGTTGTTGATGTTCTATTTTCTTATATTGAGAATCGATAAACTTAAATAAATTTGAATACATTTTTCAGTTTTTTTTGGTTTTTGAAAATTGTTTACAAAAAAAAGAGTTTACTCAATCGATTTTCTTCTAATCAGTAGTATTATTAATGTAGTATTTCTAATGTAACAGTGTTGTACCTGGGTTTCTAAATCGCGAACGACATATGGTGGTTGGACTATTACATCACAATAACAAAACAAGCTATACTGATAGAATACTTGTTCCGTCTAGATTCTACCATACCATAATGGTCTGTTGAATAGTGGTTGGACGAAAAGCAGTTATCATTGTGGTGTAAATTACTACACTATGATGGGGGTCTGAAGGCGAACTCGTAGTGCTGGTAGCTGAATGCAATGTGACAACAGGAAGGTGTTCCCTTTGAATAACTGGCGGTGCCACGCTGATTCTGCCTTCCGTATGGTAAGAAGACGGTTAGCATAGGTCAGACACAAAAATAGCATATCACACATCCTCGTGGCATGCTGATGCCTACGACAGAGTCGAAAGCCGACTTGCCGAAAAGCCCTGTGTGTGACGAGCCTCAAGCAGATGTCTCATGCACTGCGCAGTCACACACTATCCCTATGTGCTTAGATACCTCAAGAAGAACTAGCCTTTCACGGTGTGGCCAGGCACAAAGTGTCAACATCCAGCACACTTCCAGTCCATCTGTCAATTCTATTTCGGTCGTCATAATTCATATATATATGAAACAGTGGACTTAATAGTTCCAGAGTATTTGCAGGTGATTTACGCGTGGCACGGTTCACGTTCATATTTGTCACATTTGAGTAGTTTTCTATCTGCTACCCAACTGTAGTGTCAATGGGGTTTCCGTTGGAAACCACCCGATGGACAAAAATCACAAGGTGTGATCTTAGACACAAAAGTGTCACGAAGTTGGTAGAAAGCACTCAAACTGTCCGGTATATAGATCACTTTGATCTGGCTGTCTGATGAAATCTACAGATCAGCCTAAATGGTTTCTAGCTACTCAAGTTGTACAATATTAGTGGTATCTTCCAGAATATTTTTCGTTAAAAAACAGACGAAGATATTGCTCTTTAGCTAGTTGAACATGGTCATAAATTGGTTTTAACTAAGCTGAGCATGTGTATGTGTTCTTCGTTAAACAGTTCTCTGTATCCCCGTGAAACCGAATTTTATTGTATACATTTTGACCACATCTTCTGTTCAACTTTCACATGAATTATGACGACCGAAATAGAATTGACAAATGGATTGAAAGTGTGTTGGATGGTAACACTTTGTGGTCAGTCACATCGTGGAAGCCTAGTTCTTCTTAAGGTATCTAACCACAGGGATGATACGACCGCAGAGCCCATGGTACATCTGCTTGAGTCTGGTCACATACGGCCTTTTGGCAAGTTTGCTTTTGTCTCGGACTATGGATCTCTGTCTCAGGCATCAGCATGTCGCGAGTATGTGGGATGTGCTATTTTTATGGCCAACCTATCCTAACCCCCTTCTTCCTATACGGAAGGCAGTTTATGTATATATATTGTATGTATATTGCTTTGTATAATCTTTTATTAGTTATGATGAAAACAATTCTTGAAAATTATCTTTCTCTGTCTTCCTTTTGTTTTCATTGCATGAAACGAATACCACACACCCACACACACACACACACACATCAATCAATTCAGCTACTTTTACAACTGCAAGCCCTAGAAAGTGGTTACCGTCGACTACCTCATCCATGTGATACTGAGAGATCACGTATGATCATTTGTAAGAATCCAGTGAATTGTCCAAGTTATTATCCACGTGAACCATTGGTCGGTACAGATAGTGAAGAATATTATATGAAATTGGATGCTCAAACATTATTTTTTATATTCTATTATTTTGAAGGGACAAAAGCTCAATATCTTGCTGCTAAAGCATTAAAACGTATGTCATGGCGATTTCATACAAAATTTATGATGTGGTTTCAACGTCATGAAGAACCGAAACAGATTACAGATGAATATGAATCTGGTTCTTATATTTATTATGATTTTAGAACAATGCGACAGCGTAAAAAAGAAGAGTTTATGTTCCATTATAGTTTCTTAGAGGATAAAGACTTTTAGTGCTGGGGAATGGATGTGTTGCCAAGGAGTGTGGGGGGGGGTGTACGGCCAGATTTGCTTCAATGAACTCAAAATTGTAATTCACTGTGTATTTTTTTTGTTTGTTTTGGGTTTTTGCTTTATTTTTCTTTGAAATACTGTTACATATGTTGCTCACTGTCTGCATTTTACTATTTCGATGTGTAATTTCTGCTTGGTTTTCCTGTTCAAATTGTTGTCACAATTCTGTCTACTTATTTCCCCCCCCGCCCCCACCGTCTCCAATGTGTGTGTGTGTATGTATGTGAATCATCACCACGACAACAGCAAGTACTCCTTCGATTATTATTAATTATTACTGTGTTATCATTTATATTGATAATCAATTATCAGTGATTTTTATTACCTATACATAAAACAATAACAATAATATGCATATATATATATATATATATATATATATATATATATGCACACAAGCGCTGCATTTAAACATAAATTTACTTGATATTTTTTTCAATCAATAAGTTGTTTGTTTAACACTTTCTTCCAAAGATCAAATAAATATACATAATAAATAAATAGTTTTCTATCTTGACCAGTATATCATCTTACTATCTGTCTCTGGATGAAATTGTTTGGTCTGTTGTATATATGTGATTTGAGCAGATTTTAATTCTGATTATTGGTGTTAATGTTGTCGATGCCTATGTGAAGGAGGAATATATTCGCTAGTAGTTGTAGTGAAAATTATGATTAGAAATTCAGGAGTAACAATAACGTGATAGTGAGAGGAGTCAAGGAAACACAGGATTAATAGTCAGAAATCTTAGTCGAAGTCAATGGCAGTTTATATGTGATGAGATTGTGAAGCTGCTGCGGAGTGTTGCCGAGGGAAAGGATAACAAATGAAAATCAGTGTAGAATAAGTGACTGTTTAAGAGGTAAGAGGTTACGTCGAACTGTTGAGAAGAAGCCTGTTTTGTTTGTTTTGTCTAACATCGAGGAGTGGTGAGACATCTGAAAGAATAGACAGAAAAATAAGAGTTACAATGAAAAGGAGCTTCCCTCCTGCCAGACTGATCTAAGTTTATAGTGCAGCATGTTTAATAACACAATCAAAATACACAAATACCCATTTGATGTCACCTTTAACGGCGCATATTCATTTACCAAAGCTTGTGGGAAGCAAGTATCTTTATAGTTCTCAAAAGTGAAACTGATAAGAATGCTGTTCTGAATAAGTTCAACAGTATTCACCAGCAATCAACTTCACAATGGAAGAGGAGAAAAATGATAGTATCCCATTTTTGACGTTCTGTTAGTAAGAAGGTCTGATGGAACCCTGAAGCGAAGTGTTTATAGAAAGCCAACATCAACAGGTCAATATACACACTTCTTTAGTGCTGTACACCTCCAATACAAAAGGAACCTAGTGAAATGCTTAGCATACTGTGCCTCAGCTATTTGCTCAGAGATGCTATAAAGGAAGAGTACTCCACAATCCGTGATCTGCTTAGTAGGAATGGCTACCCAGACAAGTTTGTAACTAAGCACATGAATATTACGAGGGTTAAGACAACAATGCCAACAGTTCCTAAGTAGCAAATCTTCTCGAAGCTGCAATTTAAGAGTGACACTGCCAGTGAGATCATCACACAAAGCATAAAAAGAGTCTTGCATAAAGCATTCCCAGCCGCTAAATTATGTCCCGCCTTCTACAACCGCCCGATTCTAGGTGCAAGAAATAAAGACAAACTGCCTGATTGTGCCACTTCTATGTGCATTTATCAATTCAACTGCTCCTGTGAAGCTAGTTACATTGGGCGTACAATGAGGCAGTTCCATCGTCGAGTTTCTGAGCACCACCCATCACGGTTGAACAAAGGACAAATTAGAACTATACAGACCTCCATACTTGCACACTTAGTTGACACAGGACATCAAGTGGTTACTAGAAAAGCCTTCAAAATCATCTATCAGATTCCAATTAATTTACCATCACATGGATTAGGCACTCGGTTACTTCACATAGCAGAGGCGATTGCAATCCACCTTTACAAACAAACGTAGCCTTTGTATTCGAAAGAAGTTTGTTCGACCACTTTCATCATTACCGTGGCTGTCAACATGATGTAACTTCTAGGTTTACTTTGTACACCTCTCCCCCTTCCCCTTCCCCTTGTTTCTATCAATATTCATATTTCCAATTTCAGTAACTCTCTTGATTATTTACATCATTATTTCTGAAACATCACCATGTGGTTGGTAATTTGATTAAATTGTAAGCCCATATATATTAGTGTAGAGCCCAAGATGAAGACCTAATTGAAAGGAAATATACATTTCTTCGCTCAATCAGTCTTTTGCTACATATCTGTGAAGTTAGTTATGTAATAGTTTATAGACATCATGAGGTGTTAACAGAAGTCAAAATATATTGGACTTTGAATCAGAACATAGAAATAGCCCACTGTTAGCAAGTTAGTAAGTCAGTCTTACGACATTCACCCTAGAATGAAGCTGTAGGAACAAGAATATTTTAATGCATAAAGTTTGAGTTGTGAAAAAGTGAATGAACGTTGACAGGAGAGTAAAGTGTAAATACTGAATGATGATTGAAGTTGAGATGAAAATTTGGATCACGGTGGATTCGAGCCAGTGACCACCGTGGTCCGAATTTTCATTTCACCTTCAATCACTACCCAGTATCAGTAATACTAGTCTGCCAAACCATGACTAGTTCACTCAGATAGTCGAAATAATAATCAATATGATGCGCCCTCCTCTCTAATTCAGTTAGATGTGGATGAGAAGCCCTGACTACGGGCAGCCAGTGTGATTACTACCAAGCAGTAGTAACACGTCACGAATTCACATGATAGTCGGTCGAAAACCCACTTGTGATTGAAGTGAAATAAAAATATGGTCAGCAGTCAAGTCTCGTAACTCAGTTGTTGGAGCATTAGGCCGGAAACTCGATGGTCGCTGGCTCGAATCCGACCGCGGTCTAAATTTTCATCTCATCTTCAGTCATCACCCATGCTAGAGAGTTTAGGATTCGCCTTATGAATAGTTAAAACTTTTGTGGTACAAAGAAGACGAAATGTTTATTGGTTTCAACTTTGTTTTCGATAAGTACACCGGTAAATTAAATTTTGAGGGGGTTGTGGGGATTTGGAAATATTTCAAGTTGTTATTCATTGTAGATTGACATCAGTTGGAGGAACAATGGAAACCTGGGAGAACTGGACAGCTGTTTCGTCCGACTAGTATGGGACTCCTCAGCAGTGCGCACCCAAGACCCTGCCAGGGATCGTGAGGACAGTTACTTAACGATGACATTGGGTGGCAGTTGCACTATATCTTGAGCCAACAGAAGTTGGAAATATGGACCATTGGATTCTCACCTAGTGACTCAATGGTAACGTGCTGGCCACGGAACCTGAAGGTCGCGGGTTCGTTCCCTGGCGGGGTCGTGGGTGCGCACTGCTGAAGAGTCCCATACTAGTCGGACGAAACAGCTGTCCAGTTCTTCCAGGTTTCCTTTGTTCCTCCAACTCATGTCAGTCTACAATGAATAACAACTTGAAATACCGGTAGATGTTTTTGGCAGTATGTCTTGAAAGTATCCTGTCGGTACAGCCAGCTTATATACTTAGCTGCTCCACAGGAGCAAATCAATTTGTAGATGTACGCAAATGTTACCAACAATGCGACATTTGATATTTCGACGATTTCCCTAGACGAGTTAGTAGAATTTCAAGAAATGTGTTACCCATGAATTTGGGATACATTTTCTGAATATCTTAGACACTATGGTAAGTTGTAAGGAGGTTCAATCTTTTTTTTATCATGCCTAACAATAAACAAGGCTGAACAACCATTTTTTGCCAGAGTTTTGGTGAAGAAGTTCAATTCTCCATTCCTTCAGTCTTCTATGCATTATCAATAAATGGTTATAACAAGACAGATAATTAGATCTATTTTTCTACCCATAGGGATGATTGATTTCACTGCTAACTGTGACCCTAAGCTTTGACTATAGACGGCACTTTTCATGTTACCATAAAACTGTGTAACTGTGACATGAGCTTATGAAAACCATCCTCTTTGTGGATCAATATCTTTTTAATTCATAAAAAGTGTTAATCAAGGTCAAAATGTATTGAACTTTGAATCAGAAGTATGCTCAAAGAAATAGACTAGGATGAAGTTTTAGACAACACTATCACCAATATTAGGGAAAGCAGCAGGACCAGATACAATTCCACCAGAAGAGCTGAAAACAGAAGCACAGATAACAGCAGACATGCTCACACCACTACTGAAGAAGGTTTGGAAGGAAGGAAGGAAAGGTATATGCACATTAGAAAGACGGCTACCTGGTCATACTTCCAAAGAAGGGTGATCTAAGTCTACAAGAACTAGTGCGGAGTCATGCTGCTGTCCACCCAAAGCAAAATATCAAGCCGCATGATCATAGAGAGACTAAAGGATGCGCTGGGTTCAAAATTATGACCGAAATAAGCTGGCTGACTTGCTTCACGAAGAACAAATCATGTGCGGATCAAATTGCAACCCTACACTACGCATCATCATAGAACAGAATATAGAATGGCATTCAACTGGATCTTTACCTCAACTTCATCTACTTTAAAAAGGCCTTCGACAGCGTCGATCAACAGGTAATATGACAGGCAGCTACTTCAACATCACCGTTTTGGTAACACAAATCTTTATCAATCTCATTCAATAGCTACATGAAGACGCCACATGCCAAATGATCCACAATGGAAAGCTCAGTGATGCCTTTGAATTGAAGTGAGGAAAGGAGTAAGACAAGACAAGGCTGCCTACTATCACCCATGATATTCCTGATTGTGGTCGACTGGATCATGCAGCAAACTGTGAGGAGTTGTGTGAAGATGGGCATTCGCTTGACCGGTGAAAATAGCATAGAAAATTTGGATTTCGCCAACGATGATGAATCATGTCTAATGTCTTGTCGCACAAACTCGAAGATGTACAGGCGAAAACTAACAAGTTGACAGAAGAGGCGAGGCAGCTAAGACAGGACTTCCTTCAGGTGAATGTAGAGAAGACGGAGGTGATGAAGAGATACCCAATTAACAACAGCATCAACAACAGCACCATGAACGACAGAAACCTAAAATAAGTAGTCTCTTCCACCCACCTACCTACCTACCTAGACAGCACCGTTTCAACTACACGTGGCACTACACAAGCGAGGATGTCAAAACCAGGATCGGAAAAGCAAAGCAAGACTGTCTTTCACTAATCTGAAATAATCAGTGTAGAGATCTACTCCACTCCACTCAGCACAAACGACAAGATCCGGATTTTCAACACTATGTCAGTCAAGTCAGTGCTGCTATACGGTTGAGAAACTTGGCGCGTGACGAAAAAGACTTCCAAAAAACTA